GTGCTTTGTGTGTTTTAATTCATTCTGACAACATGAGGGTGTGTTTTGTTCATTCTAGTAACTAGAATGGAGAACTTAAACTTTGATATCCTGGCCTGCTCTGCCGGAGGCCAATTGAGGTCATATCAGGGAGCTTCCCCTCCCTTACCCTCTACCGATAGAGCCGTTGTTGTTGATGCTAATGTATGGCAACTGCTGGGTATTGTTTTGGGGATTTTGTCTGTACTGACTGATTTTATGGTCACATCTCCTTGGAGAGAAGATATAACTAGCATTTCATTCTGAAACTGAGCAAACTGAGGCATAAAGCAGGGTACAGTAACTTGCCCAGGGTCACACAGTTAGTAAGTGGCTGGGGGTACATGCCTTCATCATTACACTAGTGTGCAAATAATTGACTGAGGAAGGAAGTGACCACGACAGGGAGGTACCAACACTGCATTTGCAATACCATCCCATCACATGGGTACAAGCGGAGGCTCAGGAGGAGACAGCCTATCATGGGCAGGAGATTTGGGGTGAGGAAGAATGACCGTGGATTCTGGGATTGGGCACACAGCTTGGGCATGTGTTCTGGGCAAGGGCCAGAGCCTCCAAGTCCTTTTCCTCTTCCGTAAATGTGGGGTGATGGAAGTTGCCTTCTGGGGTGGTTGTGATGGGTGGTGTAAGAGGCCCAGCTTCGTCTTGGCTCACTGCGTTCCATGTGTGTTACCTGCCCTGCTTTCATGTCACATATTCCCTAACTATTTATTGATTAGTTCATCGAAAGGGGTCTTCACACTTAGAAAGCATGTACTGGAAAGATAGCTGAACAGTCTCCAGCACCTGCGGATAGATCATTTTACAACATGCATAACCTGAATGAGAGGCTGTGCACATGAGATTAATTGTGGATGTGAGAATGGGACAGTTATCCCAGATTATCTGGGCAGCCTCAGGCTGATCATGAGGACGCTTCTAACGGGGAGGCGGGAAGATGAGAGGGACTGGGACATGCTATGCTACCAGCTTTGAAGACGTAGGAAGAGGCCACGGGCCAAGGAATGCAGGAAGCGTGGAGAAGCTGGACAGGCAGCAGACAGGTGCTTCCCTGGAGCCACCAGAATGGGCACAGCCCTATGGCTCCTCACTTTTAACTGGGACTGATTTTGAACTTTTGTCCTCCAGAATCGTTAGATAATAAGTGTGTTGTTTTAAGTCACTAAGTTTGTCATAATTTATTACAGCACCAACAGGAACTGAATGTACTCTAAGGTTCAAGCAGAGTGTCCTTTGCTGCTTGAGAGAGGAAGCTATTGGATTGATGGCAGAGGTTCATTTGGCAGTCACAGGCCCGTGGATGCTCCAGGTTTCTCAAAGGGGAAACTAGCTAGGTCCATGGCTAGCACACATCAGCGGGGAGCTCTCCCATCTCTGCATCCAGGCAGGTTGCTGCAGGGAGGCACGTGGGGGACAGAGGGCACGCTTCACTCCAGCATTGTACCCACATACCGTGCCTGTCCCAGATAGTGAGCTGTCACAGGAGAGCCAGTGCCATGTCATCTGAGTAGTTAGAAATGAATCCCCTCTAATTTTATAATTAGAAATGAATCCTCAGTCTCCTGGACCTCTTTGATACAAATGTAAACTCTGGAGTAGGCACTGTGTTCTCCAACTCATGTGTTTGTCTTGTAATTAAGCAAATGTTATGAGAGTTATTATATTTTATATGCTATTTGATAACATCAAAGCTTTGCATACAGATAGCATGTGTTTCATCTCTTTCATTTCAGTGAGAATCCCCATATTCCTACCCCTGGTATAGGCTAGATATGTTAGACATGCTGGGCTAATGTTCCTCAGATGGAAGAGCTAAACTATAAATGGTCTTACCATCTGGGGCTGCTTAGAGTGTGTGCAGGCACACACACACATGCGTGTGCACATGCTTGTGTGTATGTGTGTGTTTGTATCATGTGGAATATACTATGTATTTTTACATGCCTTCAAGAGATTTGAGTAGTTCTACATCAAAACACTCTTCCCTTCTCTCTTTCTTCTCTCACAATTTTATAATTTAACTTAGTTAGAAAGATGTATGAAAAGACACCAAACTAGCAGATTAATAGGAACTGCCTTCTTTTTTTTTTTTTTTTTTTTTTGGTTTTTCTCCGGTACCAGGAACCGAACTCACGACCTTGCGCTTGCCAGGCAGGTGCTTTTGCCGCTGAGCTAAATCCCCAGCCCCAAACATTTTTCTTTGCTGCATCATAAAGCAGTAGTATTTTTTTCTTTTTTGGTTTTTCTCGGTTTTTCTCCGGTACCGGGAACCGAACTCACAACCTTGTGCTTGCCAGGCAGGCGCTTTGCCGCTGAGCTAAATCCCCAGCCCAGGAACTGCCTTCTAAGCAGTGCTTCTAAAAACGTTCCTGTGCTCAGGAAACACCTGGAAAGTGGGTTAAAACTCAGATTGCTGGACCCTAACCCCAGAACTTCTGATTCTGCACATATGAGGAGTCAGAGTTGACATTTTTTATAAAAATGCAGCACTCATCCTGCTGGCCTGGTGACACTGTCTTAGTGTTAATAAAAAAAATTCCTTTGGGATATATCTGTGCAAATATACCTTTAAACACATATCTGCCAAGTTATTTAAAGTTTTAAAAATTAAGAATACTTTTAAAGGATATATTTTGGGTCAAGACCAAAGCCACAGGAGGAAGCCCACACAGCTAAGCCATGGGCGTGTGATAGTGCTACAATGGGTGGGTGAATACTTGGGACTGATAATTCAATTTGCCGCTTTTCCTGTGTGCCTTACACTTTCCTAGGCACACTGTACAGCCTGGGACTTCCCATTTTGGGTCTGTATTAATGCTCACCACCCTGCCGAGCCCAGGGAAGGTCCTTCTCCTCGTTGATCGCTGCCAAATGATAGATCGCGCTATCCTTGCTGGAGAAGAGACTAGATTACCATGTCAGCATTCCCTGATTTGGTTGGTTCTGGGCAAAGGTAGCCTCCCTGCTGTTTGGAGCCATCTACTGAATGTGCAATCGATCGATCAATCAATCAATGACATGTTTAAATTTAACAAAATATTTTGTGCGAGCCAACGTGTTCGCTTTTTAGGAAAGTGTGGGTTGCGGTAGATATTCTTTGAGCACAGTGCATGTTCTAAACTGATAGGATCTGAATCCTGTACGTGGTGGGGTCCCATGAGAATTTTCAAGTGCTCACTTAACCTCTGTGACCCTTCATGTGCTCTGTTGAAGTTTTGGGGTGATAATCCTCTAGCACGTTGTTCCAAACTGCCTGTATCCCTGCCAGAGCTTAACTTCTGTAAGGGCAGGGGTCATCTCTGTCCATCTGCCTGCCTTGCCTGGCACCTGGCCGATGCTCAGCGGAAATTTAATGAAGAAATTCCCTGTGCACCTGTGCTGGGCCTCAGGCATCGTTATAAGTGGCAACGTGGTGCGCAATGAGATTAAAGAACTTGGCAAATGGCAGGATGATGGGTGAGGAGGGGAGATGCTACAGATCTTTCGGAGCAGAAAGAGAAATTGGATGGTGATTTATAACCATGTAGATTGTGGTTTATATAAAAGCCATCTGGGCCTCATGCTTGGATCCACATCCCTGCATATGTCTTCATGGAGTTCTTAAGTTTCAACTTAGCATCAAAGGGGTGGTTTTTCATAAGTGTGATTTTTTTTAAAAAATTAAACATTTTCTATTTTCATGAAGTGGAACTTAGCGAGGAGTTCCTGTTTGCACGTTAAGACGCAGTTAGCCTGTGTTTTGTGTTTGTTGAGAACTGGGCAGTTGTTGGGCATAAATGCACTCACTGGGGCAGAGAGAGGAAATGGTGGCCAATAAGCCAAAATCAAGGCCAGAAGAACCTCTAAGACAAAAAAATAGAAGAGTTGCCGGTGGTTAGAGGAAAATCAGTCTACTTCAAAAAAAATTGATCTTTCAGTTTTCTTTGAAAAAGATCTGATAACCTCACAACACTGGGTTTGCTCTTTACAAACAAAAAGTGGCTGAAACTGGGTAGCAGCTGTCCGTTCTGGGTGGACATGGCCATATGTCACCGTCTCTACCCCTCCCTCTTGTTTTATACCCAGCCACTTGTTTATTTGTCACCTGCTTACTGTCCTCCTGCATATTTTTGACCTCCACATACTGCAGTGTTACAAGGATCATGAGCTTTCTCAGGGTTCCTAAACACTAGATATGGTAGTTTCCTCTACCCCCAAAGATCCCTCTTTGGGGAGGTTTCTCGTTTGGAAGTAAACCCTATAAATATTTATACTGATTGAAACGATTCTTCTTCTTGAAGACTTAAAATACTATAATAGAGCTTAACCATTGTCTAGAAGGAAGTTACTTCTTCCTGTTGCTTTTTGATGTGAAGATTGGATTTGGCCTGGACGGACTGCTTCCTGGTGGCATCTGCGTGTCACACTGTGAAGGCGGTGGGCAAGGAAAGTGACCAGAGAGGTTTCCTTTTTCTTTCTCACCTCTGCAGAAGCACTTACTGTTTGAGTGTTAATGCCCCATGTTTATCCAGGTCCTCACAGCTTACAAAACACTTCCCATTTAGTGTTCAAACTCTGACTCAGATACTTAATAACTATGATTTAGGGCCGGGGGTATAGCTCAGCGGCTTAAGCGCTTGCCTGGCAAGCCTGAGGTCATGAGTTCGATTCCCCCTTCCAAACAAAAAAAACAAAACTATGATTTAGAAAGGCATTTAAATACTCCATGCTTCTGTTTCCCTATCTGGAAAGTGGCAGTGATAATAACTACCTAATCTAGTAGTAAAATGAACTGAAGTAATGTAGTGTATGGGAAAGAATTTAGCCCAGTGCTTCATATTTTGTAAGAGTACAAATATTAGTTTCTTGTAAGACTTTAGGGCCAGGGATGTAGCTCAGTGGCACAGTGCCTGCCTGGCAAGTGCAAGGCCCTGAGTTTGATTTCCGGTACCAAAAATAAAAAGACTTCCAGAGGCTCTCAAGAAAGTGGTAATATTCCCATTTATTGTAAGGAAAATCAAGTGTCAGGGACATTAGGCACTTTGCACAAAGATGGCCAAGAACCCCAAAACATCCATGGTTCTCTGGATTTCACCACTGTAATTTCCTCTGCTGAATGATCCCATTGATGATAATACTTTGAGATGAGTTTTCTTGCGGAGCAGCTTTCATGAATGGGAGGGATTCCCATGTTGGTGTGTACTGGAGGGCACTTACAAAAAGTTGAGTGAGATGGCAGGAAACTGACCAGAATCTCTCTTTTTGTCCTGAAGGAAGATGAAAATAAGAGGAAAAGGGCTTGCCCCCTGCACTCTCTGCGGAGACCTCATGTGTTTGCCTTTAATGCGAGGCTTGGGGGTGCGTGAACTTGGAAGTGGGAATTAACACCTCCCTGTGCAGCTTTGTTCTGTTTCTTCAAGAGGATTGTACAGAAGCCCTTACCAAAGGGCTTTTGGAGGGGTGTTTCTTCTGACTTGGTCCTCTCTTTACTAATATTGCATAACGGGTCTTGTGGGACTCCTTTAGAAACACTTAAAGGAATTTGATGCTGAGTGTCAGAATTTACTACCATTGTTTATAAATGCCTGTAGCATACTCTCTCTTTATGATCACTCATCAGTTTAAATTTTTCCCTTGGAGCAGGGACAGGACACAGGGAGTTGGGGGGATATCTTCCTGATATATTGATAAATAGGTAGATCAATATAAAATAGCTAATAGTTAACCACTTTTACCTACATAAATAGCAATTTTATTTGGCTCAACCCACTGACAAAGATGTAAATAGTAACAGCTTAACATTATATGGCAAGTTAAAAATTGTCACTATTTCTTCACAGGTGCATTAGGGATCTTGTAGCTTTGGAAAGCCCAAAGGTATCCTGTAATAGATGCCTTCCTTGTCTAGTTTATTCTCCTCTTTCACCGGACTATGACCGTGCCTCTGACACTCTTTGCCATGCGTGTAGCTATGGCAAATTTGAACAAATCCCCCAAATTATATATTGATGATCACCAACCATCTATCTTTCAAGCACCATTCCTTACCCATATATGCAAACAGCTTTTGGAATAAAAAAGTAGATTGAGGAATATGTGGAAATCCCTAGCATTATGTGTGGCATATGTCACCCACTACTTGCTTGGAGAATTTACAACTGGAGCGGGAACAAGATGATAGTTTTTGGGTTTATACTTCCCACAGGCTATCGGATGATATAAATAGGTAAGACTAACAGAGCAGTTGCTTTGTTCCAGCCATCATCAGAGTGGGTGAGCAAAACCCTGAAGGATTCTATATTCAGTGTGAAAGTATTCGAGCATAGCTGCTTGGCTTTGTTTCATGATTATGGATGCTGCAGGGCCAGATCTTACACTTCCGTACATCTCATCCCTTAGGTAAAAGCACATGGATTGACTCTTCTGAGCAACCAGAGGAGCTGTAAGCCACAGACACTGAATTGCATAGGCTGTGGGAGGGAACTTGTCACGAAGCTAACGAGCAGGGTAGCTCTTGCCTTTCCCCTGCAGATGAGTCTATTACTGCCTTCCTTTATGCACTTGGGTGAACTTACATGAGCTAGCTGCCCTTCCAAATCTGAGGGTTTGCTGTGCTATGGGGGCCTTGTATACTGCTGAAATATCATGCATCTGCTGTCTCATTAAACTCTATATTTATATTCTGCTTCTTAAAAATTCCGTGGTGGCCTGTGTATTTAAGCGTATAAATATGCAAAGATACAAAAATAATCCGGTCCTTTTTAAGAGAGCACAGTGAACCGGTGTTAGTCTTAGAGTAGCTAAGTTAGCATCTAACATGTGTATGACTACTGTAGGTTCAGTTGAGTGATTATTCAAGTCAGCTCCTGCCCAGGAAGCTTCTAGAGAAGGACCGGGTTGTGTTTTCTGTCCCAGATGCTCAGTGGGTATTTCTCAAGGAATGAATGAGGTTGTCAGTTTCCAGTTGCTTGTATGCATGACATTGTCCAGCGAATGTCCACAGTCCTACCCTTTCCCATGTGTTTGGGGACCAGAAGTCTTAGTTTTCTTGTTCAGGTCTGCGTCTGAGTTTATGTCTTTCTCTATAAATCAAGTCAAAGTTTTCCTCTTTTTACAAATATATTTTATATATATTTGACATGCTGAGCTAGCATCTCATTCCTGTGACAAATAACTGAGGTGATAAGCTTACGAAGAGCGAAGGTTTGTTTTGTCCCACAGTTTTAGAGGTTGCAGTCCGTGAACGATGTGTTTTGTTGCTTTGGAACCATGGTGTCTAAGAAGGAAAGAGAGAGAATGGAGAAGGGCCAGTTCCCTCTGTCCCCTTCTAGGTGGCACCCCAGTGACCAAAAGACCCCCCCACCAGGCCTCTTAAAGTTTCCACACCCACCTACCCAGGTACACCAAGCTGAGGGCTAAGCTTTTCTTTTTT